AAGTGTCTCTGCTTTTTCCTGCGTTTTGAATAATCATTATTTATGTATATCATTACAAGATGGTTCCAGCTTCTCGCCACTATTCTCCTCAGTTCCCCTTTGTTGGCTCCTGTGATTCGACCAGTGAGCGTTTCACCGACCTGACTGCGATCTCACAGTCGATACCAAACCAACACACTCTCCTCTGTCTGAGAGGATGATGGATGACCTGCGATCACTGCTCGGGCCGGATCAGATGGCCGCCACGATAGAGGAGGGAGCGTCCGGCTTCCCTCCCGCCGGCCGTCACCCCCGCTCCGCTGTCGGCGGTGGGTGACACCTCTAATTTAGCCTCCCGCTCTCTGAGGACACTGAAGAACAAAAGGGCCCCGGCCCCTTCGAGATCACCCTGTTCTCTGGAGGGTTCGTCCACGTCTTTTCCACAGATAGCGCCTCCTCCATATCTCCTCTAAGATCCGCTGTCACTCCCTTCAGGAGGCCTGGGGAGAGTCCATTGTTTGAGGGGAAAAAGGGGGGTGATTGAGTGATTGGAGAGTCTGTATCAACAGACGGGCAGCCTCCAGGAGGAAACAAACCTAAAATAAAAGTCCCTTTATCAGATGCTTGCTTTCTTGTGGTGCTCAGATTCACACAATGGAAGGGAAGTGTTGTGTGCGAGGAGGGATTACGTTTCATTTCTTGGTTTCTGTTTGTCACTTTTTACCCTGCGATCCACAAACCCAGCACAATAAGCTTTTGTCGCTCATTATTAATTTTGACGTCCGTGGTTCCATCCAACATTTTGCTCCTCTAACATGTCCGACATGTGACTGCTGTGGTCTTTAATCAGAGACCCTCAGGTGGGAGCCCGGGAACATCTTCGGATGCGTCGCCTAACGAATGACTTCATCTTTTGGCTTCCCCCGAGCTAGCGACCTTTTCTTAAGCACTACACCACAATACTTCACCGAGGCGGAGACTCGGTATGAAAGAAGAGGGAGTGTGTCCGTGGGAGTTTCGTGTATTTGGGGATCTATAACTTGTATTTATATTTAATAAAAGACTTTGCGTCCTTCCCCCTTTTGCCTCCTCCCTCACCCTCCTGGTCTTGTCCACTTGAACGCAACGTGGTCTCTTTGTTTTGAAGAACCCAACGTTGTGAATCTTAGTAATGCCCTTGGACATTTTCGGATGCTTAACAAATGACTTCATCTCCTCGCCACCCCCCCCAAGCTAGCGACCTTTTCCTAAGCACTACCCCACAATACTTCACCGGGGCGGAGAAGTGCCTCGGTGCAGCGAGGAGAGAGTATATCTGAGGATGTATTTATCTCCCCACATCTATTTTCCCATGTGGAGACCTTGTGAGCTGTCATGGCTGCCACCCCCCCCACCCCCCACCCCTCCCGTAGGTAAAATAAGAGGCGACGTGTGTGTGTCACGAAGCCCGGGGAGGTGAATAATGAAAGATATTACCCATCAGGAGGGCTTCGACGCGGCGTTCAATTAGCCTTCCCCTGGAGCAAACTGATCGCTTGTCATCCCCAGGATGGATGGCCAAAATTAATTTGCTGACGTCTCCCTCCCCAAATACCAGGTTTGGATGGAAAAAGAGTAAGAAATAGTGTCTCACCCCTCAGTTTAGTTCAGTCCAGGCCTGCAGTGGTCGTCCACTTCAACATCATTCAAAGATCCTACTGACCTTCTCATTTCGTCTCTCCTTTCACTTTTATCCCCTCCTTTTACCGTCCTCTGCAGAAGTATTCTTTAATTCCTCATTTTTAACCGGTTCTTGATGAAAGAATTTTGTGTGTTTCTCGTCTGTGAAGCCGTAAAGAGGGGACATGGGGATAAAATCTGACAGTTAAGGGAGGGGAAAGCCACACAGTCATAACTCTGGAGCTTTCTCTTTTATTTAAAGTTCCAGAGGTCGATATCTCTGAAATAATACAAGCCAAAAGGAGAATATTGGTAGAACGTATGTTGCAGAATTAATCTATGCATCCCTACACTTTAATGTTTTATGTTTTGTCAGTTTTTATGACGATTTGAAGGCACCGGCTCGCAGGCAGACACGCCTTCAGGCGGCTGATGTGTAGGACGTAAGAAATATTTGTGTCTGACTGGAAGTTTTTTCTCATTTCTTTCTTGTTAAATTCAAATCATTAAGATCATCATCTACTTTAATTTTTCCCCCGTGGAGAACTCAGTTTTGGACTTTGCACTGCAGCTCGACAACAAATGAACAATTAAGCAACAACAGGGGTAAAGAGAACACAAAACATGGCACCAGTTTGGATTTGCATGTCTTCACTTGTCTTTAACGGTCAGACGTTTACCGCCTGACCTAAACCGTCATGCTCTTCAAATTTACCAGATAGCAAGTTAAGTTGCTCAAAATGATTCTCGAGTTCAACAACACTTGTCTGATCGAACTTGTGTGTTTGATGATGTCTAATTTCTAACTCACGTCCCCTGATGATTATTAAATATTATCTCAGTGTGAGTTTATCTGTGAAATTGGCTTTTTGATTGATTAAAATTGGTAAAATCCCATGAGTCTGAGCTGACCTAAAAAATCTTAATTGATGACAGCCGTAGTGTAAACACACATCCTCTCTCTCTCCCTGCCTGGAAACATGCTGCCGCTCGCTCACTAACAGGCAGTAATGGATGATCAGCTGGCCTGACAGCTGCACGGCTGCCGGCAGCTTTCACTTCAGAGCAGCAGGAAGCTCGTCAAGTCGCGTTTAGCGCACCGTGGGGAACCCCTGTTGTTGTTGCGGCAGCTCACACGCGGCTTTACTTCCTCACAACATCACTGACTCGACTAAGTTCCACAGATACACTTCACCAGATCAGATCAGCAGGTCTTCCTGAAAGGGACTCAGCAAATGTCTAAATCTGAAGGTGTATAAGCGTAGAAGAGCTGTGCAGAGGTCGGACTGTATTAGATATCAGATATATACTGTATGTTAGCCGTTTAATGTAGCAGAGGTGCGAACGAGAAGTCAGTTAAATGACGTTTAAACGTCCGTATCGTTGAATTCATTTCCATCCCTGAGAGACACCCGAGCCGGGTCGAGTGGGTTTGACAAGCGTTTACCGTGGTGGACGTTTTAGCTCGGCGAGTCAGCGTGCTAACGTTTGCGTAGTGGCACTAAAGACAAAGTACAGCTGAGGCTGATGGGAATGTGGTTTTGCAGGTATTGTGACCTTCCGACTTGACGGTGGCGCGGGATGAAACGTTTAGGATCATCACAGTCTGTAGGAATTCACCCTGACGTGCGTTGAGAGATTTCTGGACATTCCTGTAGCTAGCGTGCTAGCTACAGGAATGTCAGCCGCTCACAGATCTCCATCCGTCATCATCAGCGAGTTCATGAAACCTTGCTGCTCATACACGTTTTAACTTTCTGATTACTGTGAAAATAACTTTAATTTGGCACCCAGAGGAACCCAGAGACGTGTTTCTACTCCCCACATCTCTCTTGACGTCCTCTTGTCTCCACCATCACTCCGTATCTGGATGATTTTGGTGTCTCACTTTTGAGACTCTTCAGGAAGACGGACACATTTTGTCTCACAGCTCGCCACCACCGCTTGCGTTCAACGTCCCTCTTTGTCTCTCTAAGGCGTTCCTTCCTGGCGTTGTGTCACCGCCAATTACGCCGAATGTGCCGTCACTGGCGGCGAGGGTCACCCCCGGGCCTGCCGTCCTGTCCCACCACCACGACCGCCTTAATGAAAGCTGAGCGGTCGGGGCGGCGGAGAGCAGGCTTCTGTCCATCAGCCGGCCTGTCCATCTCCCCCTCCTCTCCTCCCCCTCTTCTTCAGTGGTGCCTCTAACTCCCCCTCTTCCTCCCTTCACGGCTGGACTCTATTAATATCCTCTGTCGGAGTGTTAATGTTGTAGAGGTCCAGTGAAGTGACACGCGTGGCAGCACGGCTGTAATTGCTAATCAGCGGACAGTTTTATCCCCCGCCACTCTCCCCCCTTCTCCTCTCTTTTAGATCTCTCTTCTTTCTCCCATTTCGACCCGCTCTCTCCCGCTTTCTCTGTGACCTTCTTGCTCTCTCTCTCTCTCTCTCTCTCTCTAACCTAATGAATCCAGCTCAAATGAAGTGTGGGCGGGCGAGCGGGCGGTCGCTCGGCCTAAACGGTCAGTCAGCCGCAGCTGATGTGCGTAGGAGAGAGAGAGTGGGGAAAAAAACCCGAGTCCGACAATTAAATAACTGCTGATTTCCCTCCGTCTTTTCTCTCCTCGCTGCTTTACATCCAGCTCCTTTCAGCCCCGCTGCAAATGTCTGATGTTAAGATGTTGTTTTGGGGAGAGATGAACTCTTATTTAATCCGTCTCCTGGCTGTGAGCTCGTTAGCTTCGCTCCAAAGCCTCTGAATGTAATTTAGCTCCAATGTGCACAAAGAGACGCATCGATATGTACAAATGCACAAATAGGGACTTTATGACTCAGGGACGTTCACTTTGGACACTATATGGCCAAAAGTATGTGGACACCTCTGTTTTAATTAATGTTGCTCCGTAAAGAAACAGTTCCCTCAGTGTGGGTTGCAAGACGTCGACCCGGCCCCAACTCCTTTGGCACGAACGTGAACGCGTCTAGTTTGAATAACGGATTTGAGCGACGATTTAAACGACTCACGGAGGTTTGTAATCCTCTGACGCAGGAAGGTACAACTCTGGAACGTGCCATTATTTTGTCTTTCATCATGGCGAACAGTGGAAACATTTCTTTCACGGTAATCTACATGGGATGGCGGGCCGCCGCAGGCTCGTGCCAGATGACGTTGCCGTCGGCCCTGTAGAAGGTTTGATGCAGAGTAGAAAACCTTTAGCGAGATTTACTCACAGTTTTGTCTTGTTAACGTCATTATGTCACATTAAGGAGCACTAGATCGTACCGTCACAATGTTGGTGGAGGATGAATTGTCTTATAAATTATTATTATTAAATAAAACCGAGTGTGTTAAACGTGCTGCTGTTGTTTCCTCTCTGCAGGGCATGCTGCTGAAGAGAAGCGGTAAATCCCTCAACAAGGAGTGGAAGAAGAAGTACGTGACGCTGTGTGACAACGGACTGCTCACCTACCACCCCAGCCTGCATGTGAGACACACACACTCATTACTAACCCTCTCTGATTGCTTATTAGACTCCAGCACTCTGCCAGCCTGCACTGACCTCCATCTATCTGCTGCTCTTCATCTCCATCCCGTGTGTGTGTGATTCCAGAAACAACTACACACACACACACACACACACAGTGTTGATGGCTTGTGTATTAATTAGGACTCGTCATCTGTTTGCCCACGTCGGCGTTGATGATGTGAATATCAGCTGTAATGTCTCTGCTAATTGCCCCGGCTCTCTGCCCTGTTGGCACAATATCCTGCCCGGCGCTGTTTTATTATCTCACACACACACACACACACACACACACACACACACACACACACACTCACTCTTTGTGTCTCTCTTCTCTCCTGGTGCAGAATTTCTGTCGGACGCGATGCTTTCGACAGGTTTTTGATGCGGTTAAAAACCTGTGTTTAATCTGCAGAGGGGAACATTTATTGATCAGAGTAAAAGTAAAATAATGTAGCCGGAAAATGCTTTTGTTGAACCGTGGAGCAACCATAAACCGTCCGTTTATGTCACGTTTCTGAAACCTAACAGGGACTTCTGGAGATCAATCAGTCAGTCAGTCCATCAATCAACAGGAAATTAAATGGCAACAACATGATAAACGATTAAACGTTTGAGCTATTTTTTAAGCAAAAATGCCAAATTTTATCTGCTGCTAGCTTTTTTTTTTATTTTATCTCTTTGTAAACTGAACATCTTGGGATTTTATAGACAGGCTTATCAGGACTGACAGGTCGTTGAACCAAACTTTACTTGAGCCATCAATTTGTTAATGTAGTTACGATGTGGACATTTAGACTACTTTAGTAGTTTGTACTGAATTATGTTTTCATGATCTGACTGGATCTGAAGGTCTTTTTCTCTCTTTAAATTAATTTTGGGTTCACGTCTGTTTACTGCAGGTTCTCTTTGGAATAGATTTCACACCCTCTAACTCAAACTGACAGAGAAACAGAAAGATAGAGAAGAGATAAATGAAGGAGGAGAAACATTTTGGGGCTGCAACTAACTGTTATTTTCATTATCGTTTTGTCTTTTTATGAATTTAAATCACTTGTTCTGTCCATAAAATAACATAAAATAGTGAAAATTACCTTCAAATAGATTGTTGTGACCCTCTAAAAGAATAAAATATTCATTCTGCCGTCACACAAGTTAAGGAAAAGCAGAATATCTTCACATTCGGGCACCAGGAGATCAGCAGATGTTTGGTGTTCTCGCTTGAAAAATGACTAAAATGATTCACCGGTTATCAAAATAGTTGCCGAACTCTCGGTCAGCTAAATGTTCTAAACTCAAATGTTTGAGCACAAATTATAGGAAAGAGGTTTAACCCCAGTGGGTTGTAAGTTTGAGTCCCAGCCTCCTCGTGGTCGGAGGGGTTGTTGGTTCGATTCCCCCTGGAGCCGCTCGTCCCTGAGCTTCCACACTTCACCTAACTGCACACGTTCATCAGCGATTAGAGCAGCTGATGCGGTAAATTAGTGATAAAACTCATCACTTAACACATCAACACACACACACACACGCACACACAAACCCCCTCCAGCACCAAAAAGCCAGGTTTTCCTGAGCGCGTTGCATCTGCAGCTCAATTAGCTTGTTTGCGGAGGCTAATCGAACGAAACTCAATCAGCGCCGCTAATTGCCCGACTATGTGCAAAGAAATCACATTAATGCCGCTAATTAAGTGGATGGCAATAGATGCCACCTAATTGGCAAGAAAAGTCCCCTGCAAAGTGAAGAAGATCCGGCCAAGAGCAGGCGGGAGAGAAATGAACCGCCCTCTGTAAGGAGAGGTGACATTGACGGGGTTAGAGGCTGAAATGATCTGGTTCTGTTAGCTTAAAACGTGACCAACAGCTTCTCCTGCAGCCACGCCCGCCAGCAGGTGGACAGGTAGCACTGCAGAAAGAAGGTGATAACGAAGATAGGAAGTCACAGAAGAGTTCCGTTACTTTCTGATAAACCAGCGAACCAGTACAGCTTAATACTAAAAGGCTGAAATGTGACCGGTTTAGACTCAAGTTCCACTTACTGGCCTTTCCCGGTCTTTCAGCTGCATGTCATGATCCTTCATCAGCAAATAGAGCTTGCTCGGGTGTGTCGAGTGTGACAATAAAGGACTTAAAAATTAAAATAAGTCTTAAAAGGTAAATTTAAGAATGCAGATATGTAAAATAATTAAGAATAACAGAGAAATATAAACAAACGATTGTACAGAATAATATGTGAATGTATGAGCTGTGTGTCAGACAGGTGGACAAAATAATAGATATAACACCTGGCAGTATAATAATAATAATTTATTTATAGAGCACCAGGTTACAAAGTGTTTCAAGAAGAGCAAAGATAATAAAACACATTACAAGATACACGATAAAGACCTGAAGAAACTTCACCAATTAAATATAGTTCTATAAAGAAATAACTAAACATTTTTAACTATTTATCATTATACAGCACAAGGTTGTGTTGCAAAAACAAAGTTTGTGGTCTCTTCATGCTACACACACAGAACAGATGATTAAATGTGTGTTAAAACATGGTAACATATATAAAATAAAAGCACATAAATAAAGTGTAATGTGATCAACTCAAGCTGAACGTGATAACGTCGGTGTACACGATAAACTGATGAGTGTACGCCGTCTTTATGCCTTCTTTATGTTTCGCACTCTGTTGAGAGTTTTATTCTAGTCTCCTTCCTCCATTTTCACACCTTCATCGCTTCCTTCTTAATGTTTCCTGTCTGGCCGCAGAGCTTCTTCTTCTCCTCCTTTATCTCCTGTCTCCTTTTTCTCCATCGATCGTGTTTTTCTGGACGAGCTCGCTCTTTATGGATCCGTGTTTCCCGCGGCGTCGGCAGTTTTCAGCTCTCTGTTCATGTCGCATTTTTCACACCGACGTCGCCGTTTATGCGTCCATTTATACCGGGTGAACGCGACGCGCACATTTACATACACACCCTGCACACACTCCCTCATACGGCTACAAACACCCTCAAACATTTTCTCACACACACCACCTGCTGTTGGTGTGTTTGGTCGATACACACATCCGTCCTGGACGGCGCTGCGTGCCGCGGACGATCAGGCCGATGATGAAAGCTCCTCGATGCAAATGGAGACTCAATTACCTCGGTCAATCTGTCGGAGGGGTGTGTGTGTGTGTGTGTGTGTGTGTGTGTGTGTGTGTGTGTGTGTGTGTGTGTGTGTGTGTGTGTGTGTGTGTGTGTGTGTGTGTGTGTGTGTGTGTGTGTGTGTGTGTGTGTGTGTGTGTGTGTGTGTGTGTGTGTGTGTGTGGAGGGTTTACCCAGCGGGCCCCTGGCTCGAGGGCTCTCCGGTGGCTTGTTAAGACGCCGTCGAGAGCACTTGGCTTTGAATTGGCCTTTTGTCAGCCGAGCTGCCAGAGGGAGGCGGGAAACTCTGAGAGAGAGAGAGAGTGTTTAATAAGAGTACGCTCCACTTATTCCATCTTTGTGAGGACCAATTAGAGTTTCAGAGCTGGAAAGTGAGGACATTTTCTCTGGTCCTCACTCCTGTAAACGTCCGTCTGACGGAGATGAGTTGGTTTAGATTTGAGGTTGTAATTAGGTTAAGGTTAATTTAAGGTTTAGGGGACGCGTCATGTCAGTGAGGGCCCAGCAAGTGTACAGGTGTTTGTGAAACAGTATTTGCATAGCGAAATTAAACTATTATTATTATTATTATTATTATTATATTGTGTTCACAAATTCATTTTATCATCTTTATTCTTCACTCTTACAGTCCCTCCTGGAATTCACGGGTGTTTTTTGTGATTGTTGTGGCCTAAAATGCCTGAATTTGCGGCAGCTTTTGTAACAAATTGTGATGTTTCTGGACGTTTTATTGCGATGAAATTGTGTAAATAAGTGAAAAACTGCAAAGGTAGATTTGTTTTTTGACCTTTAGAATTGCAGTTGAATCATTAAACAGTCCGTCCAGGACTTGGCGGGCCTAATCCAGCATTTTAAACCCGCTTACCTTAAATCTTTCAGTGCTTGCAGTTGACCGGGATGCAGCTGCCTGTGTCTCAGTTACAGATTTCCTTCATGTTCGACCACAATGCTGCACGTTCTGCAAAACCGTTTCCCCGCTTTGGCAAAGAAGATCTGGATCCTTGTCTTCACGCTCTTATGTTTGTAGGCAAATGTGAAACGTGGGTGTCACGCATGTCTGCTGCAACTTGTAAACAAGGAAGTGAGTTTGCTGACGTACGACAACGTTCGACAGGAAACGGCGACGATAGGTCAAATTTGCGGAAAAGTTGCAGTGATTGGTCAATATCGCAAGTGACGCTGAAATCCTGGAGGGACTGGCTTTAACACACATTTGAACAGATGTACTTGGAAAGACCGTCACTGACAAGAAGAGCTAAAACTTTACCTGAACCTGATTTAAACCTTAAGCCAGGTCTAAACCCTCGAACAAACTTTTAAAGAAGTGAGATGTTAAAAAATGTTCTTTCTTTGGGGAGTCCGTACTTTCTTAAAACTGCCCTGACTTTGTAAAATTGTCCTGACTTTGGAAACATGTACAGACCTTCTAAATGTCCTCACTTCAGTTTAATACCTCGCTCTTTTAAAGCGTCCTCGGTCTCTCGTCTGAATGCTGCCGGTCTTCACAAAGACAGCAGCAAACTCTCACCCAAGTGGTTTTAATCCGGCCCAGCGGGTTGTGTGAGCTTTGTTTCTCCTCGCCTCCTTCATGTTAAGGAGGAGGCCGACCTCCCACAAAGCTCTGCTCCTCTCAGGTCACCGCTCGCACTTCACCCTGCTCAGGGGGAGGGGGGGGGTGGATTTAACGAGCGCCTCTCGTCCATCATTAACACAACTACTTGTGTTTTTATTCACTACTCTGATCCGCCCCTTTCGGACCAGAGGAGAGAGGGGGGGGGTGTCCGAGGCTGTTTTGGGCGTGTCAGTGTGCGGGCGGAGCCAATCAGAGTCGGCGTGGTTCGCCCCTTCAGTGCCGCTTTGAGGGATTAGTTTTTATTTGGGGCTTTCGCTGCTTTATTATCCGGATTAATGCCACCTGAGAACGACACACTCGTGATGATCATCAGTCTGTTGATTTAGTTTATTTAAAAAGTACAAAATGCAAGGCTGCAATAAGTCATTTAACTTATTTATTATTTATTAATTGATGAACGGTTAAATGGTCCCTCTACAGTTCATGCAGACTGTCTTCTGATTGGTCAGTGGTTGAATCTGCTTCCTCAGTTCTTGTTTTACGCTCTAAAGAAGCTGTAAAAGTCTAAATACACTGTTTAAAGGAATGAAACTGGATTTTAAACATGTAATTGAACCTGTTTTATATCTTCATATAGTTTCTTTTCTGTTGGACAAACAGCTGTTCTCAGGTTGTTGCTTTAATCTGACAGGTGCTGCTGCCCTGCCTGGATCAGCTGATTTACTGTCTTTTTGCATCAAAGCTTCACTCTCTCTGTCCCCCCCCCCCCCCCCCCCCCTCTCTCAGGACTACATGCAGAACGTCCACGGTAAGGAGATCGACCTGCTGAGGACCACGGTGAAGGTCCCGGGGAAGAGGCCGCCTCGCGCCGTGTCCACCTGCGCGCCCGTGCAGAGTCCCAAAACCAACGGCCTGACGAAGGACATGAGCAGCATGCAGCTCGGGCAGACTCCAGGTGAGGGAGGAGTTTCACCTGAGAGCACAAGACATTTTATTGATACACCCTGCAGAAATCTCAGGCCTCAGATCAGATAAAACGTGACGGTGATATTTTCATCCCTGCATTAAGTCTAAATTTGAAACCAGAAATAAAGGGAAGGAAGCATCTTTGTGCTTCTCATGTGGATTTGGTGATTAAAATCAGACAATAAATAAATGAAATAAATAATCTGGAAATATAACAAATGAGAGATAAGATATTTGTACTCCACGCCCTTGAAGTACAACGTCATGTTTAGTGGTCCAAGTCACTCTTTCAAATATTATGCTGAGGAATAACCAGTAATTACTCCGACATGAGGACATTTGTTTTTAATTGTGCCGCTAATTGCTCCTCTTGATGCTTCCTCATAAACACGAGCTTGTCTCGTCCTTCCTGAGTCAGTAAAGGTTGAATATTCAAAGAAGAGTTTAAATAAAAAGTATATATATATATATAAAAACAAAAAGCAACGGCTTAGTTCAGCCTTGAAACACACAAAGCGCTTCTTCTTCCTGAAGCAAGACGTCGTAAAACAAAAGGTGGAGGGAAACGAGCGCTCCTCCGTGTCACACACACATTAAAGCAGCTCAAGCTCTGCTGCTTAAATCAAACACACACACACACACACACACACACACACACACACAGGGATCCAGGAGGCCCGAGCTAATAGCATGAATATTCAGTGAGCCGTACTCCATGTACTAATTATTGTCATGAATATTAATGCAATCAGAGTCCTGGCTCCACTCAGCCAGCACCAAGAAATGAGCTGTAATGAGAGGACGGGGGAGGGAGGGGTGAGGGAGGGGAGGGATGATTCACCCGGCTGTTGGACCACGCAGCCTCTTACTAACTCAAGGGTTTGATTTAAGCAGCCAGCTTGTAAGAAGCTGCCTTTTATGGTCCCCCGTCTGTGTTTCTGTGTGTGACATGACTTCACACACCAACTTCAACGTTTTGTCTCGTTTTCAAAGACGTATCTCCCAGCTGTTTTCTTGCTTTAGGTTTCCTTTGTCCCGGTGATGGTCGTGCGTCCCACTTCCCGTTTTGTATCTTAACTTCCTGTTGGTAGTAAATACAAGTCAGAAGTCTTGGTCCTGAGCTGTTGTGGGAAACAACAGAGCCGTACCTTGTTGTGAGTTTAGCAGTAACCTCTTTGAGCTCCTACTAATAGAAACATTTATTTACAGCTTTAGTTACTAATGATTTACTACAGATTAAGATTCTACTTACTAACCAGTAGTGTAATCTTCTAACATTGGCTACAGGTTAACAATTAGATTAGTACTAATATCCAATAATTAAATAATTAAACACTGAAAGGAGCGTTTCTGCCTGCTTGTATGCCAGTTCACACTGTTACATTTACACATTTGTATATGTAAAAATAAATATAACGCCACCTATCAGGAGGTAAGAGCGGTGTCGCGCTGATCTGGCAGAGGTGCGCCTGTCTCCCGTGTGCCCGCCTCCTCTTGCATGCCGTCTCACCTGCGTGCCGCCCCGCTCTGCATCGGCAGCCGCGTGTGACCCTGGCGCACCCTCGACCAGGTGAATTAGATTGAGCAATCAGAAGCTCGCACACACTTCAATCAGCGGGGGCATATAACGCAGTCATTTGCCCGTTAATCGGCGGTTCAATCCCCGGCTCCTCCAGGGTGCGACGTAGTGTAAAAGACTCGAAAGGCGCTACATTTACATTCCTGTAAAATATCTTTAAATGTGTTCTGGGACGGGGCAGTTTGTTGAAGGCCCCTCCTCCTCCTCCTCCTCTTCCTCAGACTGACGTGTTGAACCCGACTTCCTCTCTCAGGTTCGGTGAGCAGCAGCTCGTCGGTGTCTCAGATGGCGAGCGGCGTCAGCTTGGTGTCCTTTAACAGCCGAGGTCTGGAGGGGATGCACCAGCGCTCCTACTCCGTCTCCAGCGCCGACCAGTGGACCGACGCCACCGTCATCGCCAACTCCGGAGTCAGCACGGGTAAAACAAACAAACGCTCGTAGTGATGTTGGCCTGGTGAAAGTGTCACTTCTTAAATCTTGTACTGAAGTGCACATGTGCCCTAATTTATTTAGAAGTCATGATGCGGCTGTACAGATCAGGTCCACACGCGCAGCTGCACTGCTGGGGTTCAGAAGGCCCCAGTGCGCAGCTCCGCGGGGGAGCCTATCATTTGTCTCCCATTGATCCACCTGCCAGACCTTAATGCTGCCTTAGCAGTACGTCAAGCTAATGGGCAATGCGTGTCTTTATATGTGTGTACCGTGTTTCTGTGTGTGACATGTTAAGTGCCAGTGTTGCCTCCCACACAGCGAGATGGTAAGACTGACAGCTGTCAGGCCGTGTGTGTGTGTGTTTTCGTGACGATAAGCTTGACTGGCAGCTCTGTCGTCAGTGTTGTGCCCTGCAGACGTCCTCAAATAACGTTTAAAGCTGTGAAATGCTTTCAATGGGCTCCCGGGGGCCACACTCACATACGCAGCTCTGTTTCCAACCTTCAGCTCCTGATGTTAAAGTAAGATTTAAACCTGAAAGTGAGCCGAACAGAGGTAAACAGAGATTGCCTTACAAACACTGAGAGGTCTACGTAGAGTTTTAGGAACCCGGCGACCACTGGGCTGAAAAATCTGATTGTGACGATTAATTGCATTTATCTCCATGTTTTAAACTGCAAAGTTAAGATAAGAAAGATAATTTTAGTTTCATCAGTAATCATAACATTTTACTCGCCACATGAATACACTACATGGCCAAAAGTCCTGGGACGCCCCTGTTCATATACTTTTTTTCATGGTGTGGTCTTTGTTAAGGGAAATATTAATGCTCCTTAATACTATTTTAAACACTAGTTCTTCCAACAGTTTGTGTTTGGCCTTTTCCCCGTGCAGCCAGCTCCGTAAAGAAATGGTTTTCTCAGTTGGGTGTGGAAGAACTTGACACAGCGCGTCCGACCTCGACCCTATCCAACACCTGTGACGGTCCTCTCGTCCAACATCAGTGTCTGGCCTCACAAATTCTCTTCTGGGTGAACTGAAAGCAGTTCCCACAGACAAACGCCAAGATCTTGTAGAAAGTCTTCACAGAGGAGTGGAAGCTGTCATAGCTGCAGCTCCATATTAATGCCTGTGGGTTTAGAATCCGTCTGCTTCTGATTGGTCAGTGGTCGGCGCTGTCTTAGCAACCGGTGTCCAAACTGTCGATGAGCTTCAGAGTCGAGGGAAAACAAACAGGCGAGATGTTCAGAAGGAGGGAAAGTGAAGCAGGAGGAGGAAGTCTTGAGGCTCAGGGTGGAGGTGGAGGCAGGGGTGGGGTGGCGTGGAAGGAGCACGGCGTGCAGATGGGAGGGCCGTTAATCCACGGCGGTTAATTGCACTCTCGGGGATGGCATCTTGTCAGCAGAGATAAGTTGTCACATTTTCCACTTGAGCTGAGACTAAACGATTGTAAAATAAGTTATGGCCGTCCTTGGGGCGGTCTGCCGTTCGGGGGGACGCGGCGGCCCAACGAGCGCTTGTGTATATATACGTGTGTGTTTCTATCCACACACACACACACGCCGCCCATGTCAGTGTCGCCGCGGCGATGTGATATTGATGGAAGCTGAATGTTATTTTATTCCGCCGCTAGTCACAGCTGTCAGCAGCCGCCGTGAAGAGTGGAGGGCAGAGAGAGAGAGACTCGACTCCCTGTTCTGGTAGCCTCGCTCGCCCCCCCACGCAGCTCCATCCCTCATCCTCCAGACCTGTATGTGGACCAGGACTCGTTTAGGTTTCAGAAACTCTGACTCTGGTTCAGACTTTATCGTGGTGAAGAAGATTCAGCTGCCTGTAGCTTTAGTGTCCGACATCGACGAATGTAAACTCAGAAGGTCGTAAAAAATTTAAATACATTAAAAATACTTCAGAATATTTATATCCTTACATACTTACCCGCTTCCGAAAACTTCACAATATCTATATTCTTAAATACTTCCAAATATCTGTTTTCTTATGTACTTCCAAATCCTCATATACTTTAAAAAAATCTATATATCCTAAGGTACTTTCCAATATCTATGTACTTTCCAATATCTGTGATTTTACATACTTTTAAATATTTATATCCTCATATACATTCAGATATCTGTATTGTTTGAATCTGCAGATACCGGCCTCGGAGACTCGGTCTGCTCCAGTCCCAGTATCTCCAGCACCACCAGTCCGAAGATGGAGCCGCCGCCATCGCCGCACGCCAACCGCAAGAAGCACCGGCGGAAGAAGAGCACCAGCAACTTCAAAGCCGACGGCCTCTCTGGTACTGCGGAAGGTAACGCCATCTCCCCTCCCCTCGCCTCACACTTTCCCCGCCCGGGTCCAACAGCTAAACCTGGATATTCATACATTTCTAAATATCTGGCAACATTTGCATACTTTTATACTTACAATACTGTCGAATATCTATATACTTGTACACTGTACTCCCAAACATTTCCAGCTCTGTATATACTTCCAAAGGCTTTCCGGTATCAAATACTTTAAAAAACTATAGTACATGTTTATTTAAAAATATTTACAACAACTTATATACATAGTTACCTCAAAATCTCTGAAGATTTAAATACCTCTAAATACTTCTAAGATCTATATACTTGTATTTCCAAATGTCTGTACAAATATTTCAGCAATATCTAACTACTTTATACTTCCAAATATCTACTTGTATTTCCAAATACCTATACAAATACTTCAAAATATCTAACTACCTTTATACTTCCAAATATTTATCTATTTGTATATCCAAATGTGTTTCTACTTGGATTATTCCAATTACTTCCAAATGCTTTAAAATATCTATAAATGTGTATAATTACAAGTACTTCCATAAAGAAGTATAGTTACTTACAGTATTCTGTAAAAGTACACATTTAATGAGTTAATAACGCTGCTGATTTGGGACCAGGGTTGGGAAACGCAGTCATGTGATCGTCTGAGGCTCCTTACCTCGGCTGTGAGGGACGGACCTCTTCATCCTCTCATTCTGTCAGCCCTTCATCTCTTCATCCTGTTGGATTGTCTTCTTCTTCTTTTTCTTCTTCTTCTTCTGTCTCCGTGTGAACCAGTTTGTGACATAACCTTTGCTGTTTGGTCCACGCCGAATAGTTTGTGTGAGAAGTGCGAGGCGGTGGTCAGTCTAAAGTGCACTACTTTAGATTTAGGAGTCACAGTGGGAGCAGAGTGTATGTCCATATTCGTCAGAAGAAAAAGAAAAGATAAAGGCGAAGGTAGAAAAATAAGCCATAAGTGTCATTCTGGGGAAACTTACTCGACATCGCGAACCTTTGCGATGTTCAACACAGTTACACACGAGTCTTATTGCTGACCAGGTGTATTTTTTGAATGGATAGGTAGTAAATGCACCTTTCATAAGTCACATGGCGTCATCTGGAGAGTTGTGATTGCTGCAGGCTGTTTGTTCTATTTCTGAACGGTCTTTGCTTAGAAACGGTTGTTTGGTTGCATTAAGTTTGGTTCATCTTGTGTTTTTATGTATTATTTTGTATTGATTTATGGTTGTCTTTCTGTCTTGAACTGTGAGAGAGTGGAGTTAAAGTTGTGCATCAGCTGGGCAAGCTAACAGTTAGTAATCGAGAAAATAATAAAATCAGTACAAGTCGGGTCGAGTCTTAAAGACATGGTAACAGTCCAGTGGCTAACACACACTGATTAGCACACACTGGCTAACACACACTGATTAGCACACACTGGCTATCACACACTGATTAGCACACACTGGCTAACACACACTGATTAGCACACACTGGCTAACACATTGATAAACACACACTGGCTAACACATTGATAAACACACACTGGCTAACACATTGATTAACACACACTGGCTAACACACACTGATTAGCACACACTGGCTAACACACACTGGCTTACACATTGATAAACACACACTGGCTAACACATTGATTAACACACACTGGTTAGCACACACTGGTTAACACACACTGGCTAACACACACTGGCTAACACATTGATTAACACACACTGGTTAGCACACACTGGTTAGCACACACTGGCTAACACACACTGGCTAACACATTGATTAACACACACTGGTTAGCACACACTGGATAGCACACACTGGCTAACATACTGGCTAGCACACACTGGCTAGCACACTGGTTAGCACACACTGGCTAGCACATTGATTAACACACACTGGTTAGCACACACTGGCTAACACATTGATTAACACACACTGACTAACACACTGGCTAGCACACACTGGTTAGCACACATTGATTAACACACACTGGCTAGCACACACTGGTTAGCACACATTGATTAACACACACTGGTTAGCACACACTGGCTAACACACTGGTTAGCACACACTGGCTACCACACACTGGCTAACACACACTGGCTAACACACACTGGTTAGCACACACTGGTTAGCAAACACTGGTTAGCACACACTGGCTAGCACACACTGGCTAGCACACACTGGCTAGCACACATTGATTAACAAACACTGGCTAGCACACACTGGTTAGCACACATTGATTAACACACACTGGTTAGCACACACTGGCTAACACACACTGGCTAGCACACACTGGTTAGCACACATTGATTAACAAACACTGGCTAGCACACACTGGCTAGCACACACTGGTTAGCACACATTGATTAACAAACACTGGTTAGCACACACTGGTTAGCACACATTGATTAACACACTGGTTAGCACACACTGGCTAACACACACTGGCTAGCACACACTGGTTAGCACACATTGATTAACAAACACTGGCTAACACACACTGACTAGCACCCACTGGTTAGCACACATTGATTAACAAACACTGGCTAGCACACACTGGCTAACACACTGGTTAGCACACATTGATTAACAAACACTGGCTAGCACACACTGGCTAACACACTGGTTAGCACACATTGATTAACAAACACTGGTTAGCACACACTGGCTAACACACTGGTTAGCACACATTGATTAACAAACACTGGTTAGCACACACTGGCTAACACACTGGTTAGCACACATTGATTAACAAACACTGGTTAGCACACACTGGCTAACACACTGGTTAGCACACATTGATTAACAAACACTGGTTAGCACACACTGGCTAACACACTGGTTAGCACACATTGATTAACAAACACTGGTTAGCACACACTGGCTAGCACACACTGGTTAGCACACATTGATTAACACACACTGGTTAGCACACACTGGCTAACACACTGGTTAGCACACATTGATTAACAAACACTGGTTAGCACACACTGGCTAACACACTGGTTAGCACACACTGTGGCTGGCTGAACAGATGTGGCAGCAGCAGCAGATGTGTAATGTTCGTCTCTCCATCACGGAGGCTTCAACCAGCTGACAAGGCAAGTGGCTGTCGGAGTGACGGATCGACGCTCTGTCTGCTTCCTCCTCTCCTCCTCCTTTCCTTGGTTTTCTTTTTGATCCTTCTTTTCTAACGTCTCCTCGCCTCCCTTCACACCCTTTCCTTTAATTTTTCTTTCCTTTCTCCTCTTGTCCCTGTCCTTGTTTTTCCAGTCCATTTTCTCTCCTCTTCTCTTTGCATTCCTTGTTTGCTTTCTTCTCGTCTCTCCACCTCCTTACATTTCCTACTTTCCTTTCTCCTCTCCTCTCCTCTCTGCCATTACCTCCTCTCCTTTCCTTGTCCTCTCTCAGTTTCCATTGTCTGTTTCTCTCCTCTCTTCTCCCTGGTTTTAATATTTTCTCATTCTATTTTTCAACCCCATCTTTTATCTCTCCTTTTCTTTCCTTTCCTTGTTTCCTCTTCTTTCCTTTTCTCTATCCTTCTGTCCTCTCATCATTCCTTTCTTTCATTTATTCATTTTTTTCAACCTCTGGTCTATCAGTTTTCCTCCTCTTTTCTCCTTTATTTCTTTCCTCCCTTTCTTGCTTTTGTCTGTCTCCTTCCTTCTCTCTCCTTATTGTCTTCGGCTATTTGTTATCTTTCTTAATTTCCATCCTCTAGTTACTCCTCTTCCTCCCTGTGACCGTTTTATTATCAAACACTTTTCCTGAGCTCCACAATGAGCCTTCGCCTCGCCCCCCTATTAGTCAGCCGGAGAGGCTTAAGTGAAATATTATAAATAATCCACCGTATTGAAATCTTTATCAGCTATGTCACTTTCATTATTCAATAAGCGATTAGTAACAGTCTTCCCAATTTAGCCATTAAGCACTGAGCGCGCTCTGCCGGCTCGTCGCCTGTCACGCCGGGCGGGCAGGTGAAGTATCTCCGTGTCAGACCGAGGCTCGGCGTAATTCATGAGGGGGAACCGCCCTCTGAGGCCGAGCTCCCCAGGTAGGACCACACCAGCACACACACACTGAGTCTCAGCTGACTTCTGTTCAGTCTGTGTCTTTCCCCTCGTCTTCATCACAATCTTTGGACCCAGTGACGGTGGTGATGTTGGTGTTTGGTGGTGTCACATTTTGTTTAGATGTTCAGAAGATAATTCTTTATGACTTCAGTCACCTGCTGATCTTTCCTCTTCTAGGTGTATAAAGTCAGACTTGTCTTGTTCTTGTAGGTGTTTGGAGTCAGACTTGTCTCGTTCTTGTAGGTGTTTGGAGTCAGACTTGTCTCGTTCTTGTAGGTTTTTGGAGTCAGACTTGTCTCGTTTTTGTAGGTGTTTGGAGTCAGACTTGTCTCGTTCTTGTAGGTGTTTGGAGTCAGACTTGTCTCGTTCTTGTAGGTTTTTGGAGTCAGACTTGTCTCGTTCTTGTAGGTGTTTGGAGTCAGACTTGTCTCGTTCTTGTAGGTGTTTGGAGTCAGACTCGTCTTGTTCTTGTAGGTGTTTGGAGTCAGACTTGTCTCGTTCTTGTAGGTGTTTGGAGTCAGACTTGTCTCGTTCTTGTAGGTTTTTGGAGTCAGACTTGTCTCGTTCTTGTAGGTGTTTGGAGTCAGACTTGTCTCGTTCTTGTAGGTGTTTGGAGTCAGACTTGTCTCGTTCTTGTAGGTTTTTGGAGTCAGACTTGTCTCGTTCTTGTAGGTGTTTGGAGTCAGACTCGTCTCGTTCTTGTAGGTTTTTGGAGTCAAACTCGTCTTGTTCTTGTAGGTGTTTGGAGTCAGACTTGTCTGGTTCTTGTAGGTGTTTGGAGTCAGACTTGTCTGGTTCTTGTAGGTGTTTGGAGTCAGACTCGTCTTGTTCTTGTAGGTGTTTGGAGTCAGACTCGTCTTGTTCTTGTAGGTGTTTGGAGTCAGACTTGTCTTGTTCTTGTAGGTGTTTGGAGT